TTTCCATCTCATTAATCTCTGCTCTGAGTTTTATTATTTCCTTTCTCCTGTTCGGGTTGTGCTCCTTTTTTTGGTCCTTCTCCAAGCTCTTAAGCTGTGAGGTTAGGTTACTTATGTGTGCTCGCTCCTCCTTCCTGAGGAATGCTTGTAGAGCTATAAACTTTCCTCTTAACACAGCCTTTGCTGTGTCCCATAAGTTTTGGTAACTCGTGTTCTCATTTTCATTCGTTTCTAGGAATCTTTTGATTTCCTCTTTGATTTCCTGTCTAATCCACTCGTTGTTCAATAGTGCACTGTTTAATTTCCAGGTGTTTGATTTAGTTTTCTGTTTTTGTGTGTGATTTACTTCTAATTTCAGCGCATTATGGTCTGAGAAGATTGTTGATACAATCTCTACCTTCTTAATTTTATGGAGGCATGTTTTGTGGCTCAGCATGTGGTCTATCTTGGAGAATGTTCCATGTACGCTTGAGAAGAATGTGTATTCAGCTTTTTGTGGATGAAGTGTCCTGTATATATCTACTAAGTCCCTTTCTTCCATTGTTTCCCTCAAATGAAGTATGTCCTTGCTAAGCTTGAGTCTGGTTGATCTATCAAGAGGTGACAAAGCAGTGTTGAAGTCTCCCACTAGTATTGTGTTGCTATTGATGTCTTTTTCCAAATCTATGAGTAGTTGTTTTAAGTACTTTGCTGGTCTCTCATTAGGTGCATATACATTTATTATTGTAAGTTCTTCCTGTTGTACAGATCCTCTGATCAATAAGTAATGGCCTTCACTGTCTCTTATGACCTTCCTCACTCTGAAATCAATGTGGTCTGATATAAGGATGGCTACCCCAGCTTTTTTATGGGAGCTGTTTGCCTGTAGGATTGTTTTCCAGCCTTTGACTCTGAGTCTGTGTTTGCTTTGACTATTGAGATGCGTTTCTTGCAGGCAGCAGAATGTTGGGTTCAATTTTCTAATCCATCCTGCCACTCTATGTCTTTTAATTGGTGCGTTTAGCCCATTGACATTGAGAGAGATTATTGTTATGGGATTTTGTCCCATTGTTATGTTAAAATTGGGTGTATTTGAGGGGCCTTTCTTGCCTTAAAGTAGCCCATTTAGTTGTTCTTGTAACCATGGTTTTGAGTCTATGAAGTTCCTGAGCTGTTGTTTGTCTGTGAAACTGTGTGTTGTTCCTTCTATTATGAATGAGAGTCTTGCTGGGAAAAGTATTTTGGGGGAGGCATTTATTTCATTGAGTTTTTTTACTATGTCCCACCACTGTTTTCGGGCCATGAGGGTTTCATCAGAAAAATCAGCTGTGAATTTTAAGGATGCTCCTTTGTAAGAGATTTCTTTCTTCGATCTTGCTTCTTTCAGAATTTTGTCTCTGTCTAAGGTTTTGGTCATTTTGATCAGAATGTGTCTTGGGGTATTTTTATTCAGATTTCTTCTAGCTGGTACCCTTCGGGCCTCCTGAATGTGGTCACAAGTTTTCTTCAGCTCTGGAAATGTTGTAGCAATGATGTCTTTGACAGTTTCTTCTTCATCGAGGTTTTCTTCCTGTCCCTCTGGGACTCCAATAATTCTTATGTTACCCCTCTTGGCTTCATCACGATCTTCTCTTGCCATCTGTTCCCGAATTGTGAGTCTCTTTTCCATTTTCTGCTCTTTTCGGGAGAGTCTCTGAACTTCATCTTCGAGCTCACTGATTCTGTTCTCAGCCGCTGTTACTCTGCTGCTGAGGCCTTCCACTGAGCTTTTCAATTCGCCTACGAGATTTTTCAGGTCTGACATTTCTGATTGCATTTTCCTCATTTCTGCCTTCAGATCCTCTTGTCTTCTATTGGCATTGCTTTCCATTGTTTCTTTTAATTCCCTAAGCATCCTAAGTAGCTCCCTTCTGAATTCCTTGTCAGAGAGGTTGTCTAACACTACAGTACTGTTGGTGTCATCTGGGCTAGACTCTTCAATATGAATATTTGGTGGGCTTTTGCGTTGCTTTACCATTGTGAGAGGTGTGGTTTAGTCCTTCACGTTCAGTGTTACTATTCTGCTTGATATGCAGTGTGAGTTAAGATAGGCTTATGAGTTATTGGCAACTGTATTTCTAGTGGCTGAGCTAAAATAGAGAAGTTTCCATCTAAGAAGTTAGCTTATGGTTCCTATGGCATATGTAGTGGGAAAATATTTCGCGGCCACGTCAGCGGCCGCGGCTCCGGAAAGAGTCCCTGGCACTGGGCGAGGAGTTGGGAAGGTCTCCTGTTTGGAATTGGAGCCGTTCAGCTTTGTTGCCCAGAGCTGGGCCTCTGTGCCCGTCCCACGCGGCTCAGGGGTTGAAAACCGGCTGTCTCGGGGCTGTTTCTAGCTGCGCGTGCCCAGAGAGGAACCCAGGCCCATGGGGGCGGGCTGTACCTGTTGGAATTGGAGCCGTTCAGCTTTGTTGCCCAGAGCTGGGCCTCTGTGCCCGTCCCACGCGGCTCAGGGGTTGAAAACCGGCTGTCTCGGGGCTGTTTCTAGCTGCGCGTGCCCAGAGAGGAACCCAGGCCCATGGGGGCGGGCTGTACCTGTTGGAATTGGAGCCGTTCAGCTTTGTTGCCCAGAGCTGGGCCTCTGTGCCCGTCCCACGCGGCTCAGGGGTTGAAAACCGGCTGTCTCGGGGCTGTTTCTAGCTGCGCGTGCCCAGAGAGGAACCCAGGCCCATGGGGGCGGGCTGTACCTGTTGGAATTGGAGCCGTTCAGCTTTGTTGCCCAGAGCTGGGCCTCTGTGCCCGTCCCACGCGGCTCAGGGGTTGAAAACCGGCTGTCTCGGGGCTGTTTCTAGCTGCGCGTGCCCAGAGAGGAACCCAGGCCCATGGGGGCGGGCTGTACCTGTTGGAATTGGAGCCGTTCAGCTTTGTTGCCCAGAGCTGGGCCTCTGTGCCCGTCCCACCAATATTAGCTTTCTTAACTGTTGAATAATGAAATATTGTTACCGTTTTCTCTTTTGAAAGCAGAGTGGTATTTTGTTTTATATTATACTTCTTACATATATGTATATTTGGACCCTCTAATTTCTTAATTATATGGTTTTAAGAATTCCATAATAAGTTGTAGATTCCACAATAAAATATCCTGTATCATTTTGCTAAAAATATATGTGATCATAACTTTCACTAATAATAATTAAAAAAACAAAAAAAGAAAACAAGTGGAAATACTCTGAATTATATTCCTGACTTACACAACTCAAACAAATAGTCTTAAAGAAATAGCTAACTTCCCATTGTCAAGGAAAAACTGTTCACATATATTAATCACTGTCATTGTCCTCCCATTGTTCATTGATTTGCTTGTAAGGCCCAGTAACATTGTGAGACTTGTTACTGTGTTTGGCATATATGTCACTGGGAGCTTGCCAGGCTTTGCTGTGTGGGCAAGGTTCTCTAGGTAGCTTGCTGGGCTCTCTGAGACGGGTGGAGGAATCGAACTCAGATAGGCCATGTTGGCCGCTTGCAAGGCAAATGCCCTACCCGCTGTGCTATCGCTCCAGCCCGGCCCACATATATTAAAGTGCAAAATAATTATAAGAATCTTCCTATAAATTTGGATTATTTTATTTAAATATATAAAACGGTCAAAGAATTTAAAATAAATAAAACAAATTTACTAATAAAGTTAATGAAGGTAATAATTATATTGAAAACATAGCCCCAAACATTGTCTTCTATAGAAAAAATGATAAATCATCTCAATTATTAAGAAGGAGTATCAAAAGAAATATAGCTTTATAAGACTCATTTAACAATTCGTATATGCTAATCAGGACTTTTTAAGGCCCTGCCACAGAGGTAGGGTGAAATAGGGTGGATGGGAGGTGGGAGGGATACTGGGATCAGTGGTGGTGGAAAATGGGCACTGGTGGATGGATGGGTATTCGATAATTGTATAATTGAAACCCAAGCACAAAAATTTGTAAGTCTACAACTGTATCTCATGGTGTTTCAATAATAAAAATTTTTAAAAAACCTAAGGAAAAAAATAATGAAATTTTCTCCTTACTGCAACATTCTTAACACTTCAAAACACCTCAAAATCTGTATTTATGTACATGCAGAGGCAGATATGTCTTTTCTTATAATATAAGACTAAGAAAACAATGAATATTAAGAAAAAGAGAACTTATTAATTGTATAGTTCTCCTATCTACGATATCACACATTAGACTGCAGTATCTAAGATTGCCGAAAACTATAATCTCATGCTTTCTATCTAGCATATTGTTGACTTTATTATAAATAAACCCAAAAGTGGAATTCATGTGCAAGTGTATGGTGGGAGTATTTTTTAAGTAATTCACATTGTTATTCTGATTGACCAGCCATCACATGATTAGTGGGAAATTTGTCTCCAGGACTAATTCTGTGCCATAGTTACCTGGCACTAACATGGAAATTACTAAATAAAGTCCTCCTTGAACTCTAGGATTCATTTGTCTTAGCAGTTTTTAATTTCAGGACTTACCAATCTTTCATCATTTTTTGTTGCTGTTGCACGCGGGAGAAATGAGCCTTACTAAAAGAGCTAGTTTCCGTGGGTAGTTCAGCTGCTAGTACCTAGGCGGCATGGTTAATCTGCATCTGGAATTCATTTGATTTATATAGTGCTGGAACTGGTTCCCACCACCTTAGTTTTCAGGGAGTCATGGACTCAGGCAGGAATTATGATGTAGGTCACCTGACTCCTGAATCATGCCTAGGGATGAAGATGATTTGGGTGAAGTGGTAACTTTGAGTGAGAGTACTAATTTTGAGAAAAGAGTTCTCCACCTCCATGCTTGACTCACCTCTGTCACCCAGTTTTGTCCTTGAAGTGGATCAGGGTTGGTAAAGTTGGACGCTAGTGCCTAGGCAGCATGGTTAATCTGCATCTGGAATTCACTTGATTTGCACAGTGCTGGAACTGGTTGCCACCACCTTAGTTTTCAGAGAGTCATGGACTCAGGCTAGAATGAGGATTGCTCTTTTTTTTTGTTTTTTAAATGGAACACTTCATGAATTTGCGTGTCATCCTTGTGCAGGAGCCATGCTAATCTTCTCTGTATTGTTCCAATTTTAGTATATGTTCTGCCAAAGCGAGCACGAGGACTGTTCTTTTATAGGAAAAGGGACATCAATTCTGACCCATTGCCTAAGTTTTTCAGGTCTGCCACTTTTTCTCACAGGAAAGATTTTCAAGAGGATGTGAATAATGAAGTAAACTAGTTTGATAGAGAGAAATTTATGTAGAAAACATAAGTAGAGAATGAGAGAGACAGACAGACAGACGGACAGACAGAGACAGAGACAAAGACAGAGAGTTGTTCAAAATAGAACATTCAGGCTTCTTTCTCCAAAGGGGAAAATGCTGAGACAGCATTGAGACTACATCTCAGACGGAGATTTAGGAGAATCTCTAAAATGAGGTATGTGCACATGCCACTTTATGAAAGTGTGTTTATAGTAGAAATTTCCCCAAACTGCTCCTTGCTTGGAGTAGTCGATGTAGTATGGGCATTGTCAAAGGGGAGTCTTAAATATTTGTTTGGGGGCATGTGATGATCAGAATCACTCTTGGTGATGCTTGGGAGAGCAATCACATGGGGTACCAGAGTCAGCCTTTTGCAAGACAAGATTCCAACCTGCTGTACAATCTCTCCAGGCCCTGAACCTAGGATTCTTCATGTCATTTTAATATCCTTATTACTACCTTTAATATTTTTGGAAAAAATTCTTGTTTTCTAAGGGGTTCCACCCTTCTACGGTCCACCGTTCTCACTTTATTCTTCTGGGTGATATATATGTATATATTTATAATATATATATATATAACATATACATACTCATACATATATAGGTTCTAGCTCCTTAGCTTTTTGAAGAGCTTCAGAGGTGGTGACGAGGCAAGTTCTTTTAATCATATCATGCTTTTATTACTAAATTAAAATCTCATTTCTCAGAACTGTCTACCTGCCTTCAATAGAAGCAATCGATCACAGTCTTCCTGTTGTTCATCAATTTGTTTGAGTGGTCCCAGTAATGTCTCCATCGTGAGACTTATTGTTAATGTGTTTGGCATATTGAATACATCACGGGTAGCTTGCCAGGCTTTGCTGTGCGGGCGAGATACTCTCGGTGGCTTGCTGGCCTCTCCAAGAGGGGCAAAGGAATTGATCCTGCTCGGCCAGGCCGGCTGCGTGGAAGGCAAACACCCTACTGCTGTGCTATCACTACTGCTCTTTTATACTAGAACTTGAAAAAGCATGGTTTGGGGCTTATTCAGGTACTATTTATCTGCAAATGTCTATAAAAGACACCTGAGAAATATCGTCTTATTTTTCTTTTGTCATCTCAATAGCATAAGTACTCTAACATGGGATGAAAAGTACATATGCCCCTCTTTATAATCAGAATTTAAATCCATGCAAAATGTGTTATATATTATCCAATTTATTATCTCTTTGTAAAGGTAAAGGTAAAGGTAAAGGCCCTCCCGTTGATCGTCGATTTGCTCGAGCGGGCCCAGTAACGTCTCCATTGGAGACCTTGTTGTTACTGTGTCTGGCATATCGAATACTCTCGGTAGCTTGCCGGGCTCTCCGAGAGGGGCGGAGGAATCGAACTCGGGTCGGCTCTGTTGGCCGCTTGTAAGGCAAACGCCCTACCCGCTGTGCTATCGCTCCAGCCCTGGAGCGATAGCACAGCGGGTAGGGCATCCGCCTTACAAGCGGCCAACATGGCCGACCCGAGTTCGATTCCTCCGCCCCTCTCGGAGAGCCCGGCAAGCTACCGAGAGTATTCGATATGCCAGACACAGTAACAACAAGGTCTCCAATGGAGACGTTACTGGGCCCGCTCGAGCAAATCGACGATCAACGGGAGGGCCTTTTTATCTCTTTGTTACTTTCTCTGATGCTGTTTTGATGACTCGTTTAATCTGAAAAGAACCCGAACAGTTGCACTGTTGTGTGACAACACTTTAGGAGGTTCATCCTTGATTAAACTGGATAATTTCTATGAAATTGTCATTGGCTCCTTCTGTTTTCAAGAATATATAAGAAGCTTTAATTTACTGTTTTAGTATACTACAGTAAAATGAATAGTTCTCCCTTTTTTTTAAATCAGGAAGCCACTCTGAGTCCCAAAGTAGTCAATCTATCAGGTACTTCAGCATGCAGAGAATAAAGTCTTTCCTTTTCCATGTTGCAAATTTAACCTGAAACGATGGAGAAAAAGTGAATTCTTGGAGTTGTAATTCTGGTGTCCAGGAATACAAAGGTATAGAAGTAGGTACAAAGGGCAAACAGAAATTCAAACAGATTTTGTCGTTAATGTAATCCAAAAATTTTAAGTGTTTAAAACAATGTCTGCTATTGTGTGTGCTTTTAATATTACCTTTACTTTCATAATGAAACAGGTAACATTCTATCTCTTTAAAAAATATAGTTTAAGAAATTATATAAAGAAAAAAGAAAAGAAGAAAAGAAAGGAAAAAAATAAAAACCACCTTTCATGCCATGAATCCTTAGGGAATGGATTCCAGCAGCTCAGGCTTCTTTCTTTGGTTCTCACAAAGAAATATTCTCAAAGTGGGGCTGGCTGGTGCTTCAATTGTATCCAAGCTCCTTTCTCTTTATCTACCTTCTTTTTCTCATCATTTCTTCCACCCATTTCAGGAAGCCGACTCAGCTCTGAGAGTGCTTAATATGCTCAATCCCATCATTAATTCTCTTGGCAAGAATCTTGCACTATGATGATGCGAGCAGCATTCTGGGTAACATGATAGGCTCAGTTTTGCCAGGGTAACACTTGTTCAGCTGTAAAATCTTATCACGCCGAAGGTTGTGTGTTCACGGGCTCACTGGATGGCACTGTCTCACCGCCTGCGTTCGGTGCACTTGAGCCGCTATGTGTGGCCTGGATCAGAATGGCTGTTCGCCAAGGGCAGATGGAAGAAGAAACGAGGGCCAGGCCGGTCTATATCAATAGTAGTTTATTCCAATCCTCTACACTCCTGTCTTTCTCTGCCTCCTTCTCTCCTGGGCCCCAATCTTGGAACCTCTCTCCTTCTGGCTCTGACTCTGGATCTCTGGAGCCTGAGCTCTCTTGCTTCTGACTCTCTTCTCTCCGAGCTTACATCTTAGTTTATATAGCAGTCACATAAGGCAGTGACATAAAGGTGGGTTAAATACTGACGAATCAACAAAGAGAGGTAAGACCACTCCTCCAGGAGATTAACTCAAGGATAAAATTTCATCTACAGAGATCACTTCAGATTACTAGGAGATCCGCTCAAGGGTGGGATCCCAACAAGTGTGTGTTCTTCCCTCAGTTAGTAATCTACTTAAATAGTTGTAATAAATCTACTTCTAATATTTCTAGCAATGTCATTCTGTATGAGCACAGTAAGAGATATAAATTTAGTTTGGTTCTTCCTGAGAACATCTCACTATACATTCCGCAGTCCTCAGGCCAGGTTAATCTTCCTAGCTCCAGCAAGGTCCTAGTCTCCTCGTTACTTACTTTTGGATCATGACAGCATTTGTCCATGATCAGGCCCTCAACTTATAGTTGAGTATTGTGACTCTTTGGCCTGGCCCATTTCGATGCCAGGGTAGTTCACCGCTTGCCCTGGGTCCATTTAGTCCCTCGCCGGGACCCTAAGGAACTAAGGGCAACTGAGTCAAGAAATCAGATGCCCAGGAGTAAATATTCGGAGTCAATCAACTCCCAAGTTACAAAGCATAATATTAACTGTCTTCCTGTGTCCACACAGAAAGGACATTGCTTACAATACAAATTCAGTGTCCTTAGATGGGTGTGACCTGACAAACCTAAGCTACCTAAGGAAGGACAAAAGAGTGTTATCCTACATTCAGCATTCCTTTTTGAACAGTAGCCATTTCCTATATGTCTGCAATATCGTCTTTCTTGCAGATTGCATGTATATGGTCAAAGTAACATTCTGACCAGAATAATTCCAAAGAAATATTTTTTTCCTGAACTGTAGGAATAAAACAGTCTTGGAGCATGGGGTATTTGTGTGTGTGTCTGTGTGTGTGTGTGTGTGCGCGCGCGCGCGCGTGCATCAGTATGTGTGTGTATGGTTTAAAAAGAACGACTTTAGAGGAAGAAGAAAAGTGTGAGGATAGAACAAGAAAAGAGTTACAGTGACTTTTGTGTATGTGTCTCTGATGACAGTGATATTTGAAATTGAATTTTTTATTTTCAGTCATAGGATCTAATTGATTTTCTTTACTTCCTAGGCAAGATTGTCCAGTCTTTTTTCCCCCTCCAAAACACATGGGATATATTTCAGTATACTTATAGTTATACATGTAAAATCTTAAATATTCAGTCTCAGGTAGTTTGAAGACCCCATGTTCTCATTTACTATTTGATATAGTTTCTTTTGAACAAATAAAAGTTAAGAGATAGCAGACAATTAAAAAACTTGATTTTGCTTAAAATTTTAATCACAGTTAGAAATATTTTATGAAAGGAGAGAGAGAGTAAAAGGGAATGTGCCTGCCACAGAGGCGGGGGGGGGGGTGGAGGGGTGGCGGGAGGGATACTGGGAACACTGGTGGTGGAGAATGGGCACTGGTGGAGGGATAAGTACTCGATCATTGTATGACTATGACTGAAAACTAATCACGAACGTTTGTAAATCTGTAACTATATCTCACAGTGATTCATTAAAAAAAGTTCTAAAAAAGAAAAAATGTGTTATGAAAGTTTAATAAACTAAGTCCTTTCTTTTCTATAACAACAACGATTATCCATACTTGTGGTTTAAATGAACCCAAGATGTTCATTTCTTTTTTGTGTGTTTGTTTTTGTTGTTGGCCTACATCTGTTAGTTTTCAGTGGATACTCCTGGCTTTGCACTCAGGAATCACTCCCGTAGGGGTTTGGAAAACCATATGCAATGTGGAGATGGAGCCCATTTCAGCCATGTGCAAGGTAAGTGCCCTAACCACTGTACTATCTCTATGACCAAAGATGCTCATTTCTATAACACAACTTAAATTTTAAAAATAGGGAAAGAAAATTTAAAAATATTAAAATCATGTATTTCATAATGAGGTGCAGATGATTTGA